GGATGGAATGCATTTTAAAAGACCATCGAGTCCAGACGTCATGGAAACGACCCGCAGACGGGCACTCCTTGCAGAGGGCACCAAGCGAACGCGAATATGGTTAAACTTTCACTTAAGGCGTGGCAACACTCAATGAGGACTGCATGAGATGTCACGGACCTTCTTGAAGCTAGTCAGCAGCGAAACTATGACTGCAGCAATTCCCCGTCTCAGAAGCCGGTAAACACTAACACACGTAGAAACACCTGGCAGCAGTGCCACTGAGCTCCGGCCATAACCGACCTCTGCATGCACGCGGCCGGCGCCGCCCTCCTGGGCCTGCAGCGCATTCCCTCGCGTTCCCAGAGGGCGCGTTACGCGCCGGCTACCGCGAACTGCGCCGGGTATAATCAACGGCGCATGCCAATGCTGGCTCCGGAAGCGAGGAGGCCGCCGACGAAGGCGGGGGGGGGGGGGGGGAAGCGTCCTCCCGGCCAGTTGCCCAGCCGAGCCGGCCCGGCGCCGCGTCACGGTCCTCTCGGCCAGCTGCCTAGCCGAGCCGGCCCGGCGCTGCGTCACGGTCCTCCTGGCCAGCTGCTGAGCCGAGCCGGGCCGGCGCCGCGTCACGGTCCTCCTGGCCAGCTGCTCAGCCGAGCCGGACCGGCGCCGCGTCACGGTCCTCCTGGCCAGCTGCCCAGCCGAGCCAGATCGGCGCCGCGTCACGGTCCTCTCGGCCAGCTGCCCAGCCAGGCCGGGCAGACGTCGAGTTACGCAGCCCCTCCTCCAAGCAAGCTGTCGTCAGCCTCCCTGATGGGGGGGGGGGGGGGCGCCGCACCCAGTGGCATGAATGTGGTGGGATCGGGACTTGAGGCGCCGTAAACGTGCCAGGCAGACTGCACCCACACGGCCGCACTGCCCCAGAGGATCAGGGTTCAGGGCAGGTCCAGCATTGAACCTCGGAAGGCAGCTCCGAATACCGGGTTAATTGCCAAACAACCAAACCCGTCAAGAGGAGACTTATGTCCAGTCACTGTATTGTGACACGATCTTAATGCCCCCATCCCCCAATCCTGGACCCAGCAAGCCAATCCCGCCTCGACTATCTCGACCGTCGGAGGGCGCCGGGCTTCCACGGTCAGATCGCGGCAGGGCACTAAGCTGACCCTCGGCACACTGCCGCAGGCGTCAGGCCGACCTGGCCAGGCAGCGCGGAGAGAGCACGTGGGCTGACCGGACGCAATCGACCTCTTCGGACAGCCGCCCAGGGAGGCCTGATTAGCCATGGACAGCGGCCTGACATGGCTTAATTGGAGGCCGGCCGATTGCGACAGAGGCGCCGGACCGCAACTCCCCACAAACGAGCGCCGGCGCGCCGGGCCAACTGACCTGATCTTCACTGACGACAGCAGCGTGCGGAGACGAGTGCACAGGCCATTGGGAAATCAATTACGGCCTGAAATAGCGTAGCGTCTTTGAAAAAGTCGCTAATCACCACGCAGTCACGCCCTCGCTGACGCGGAGGTGTTTCAGTGGGACCCGAACAGTGGGACCCGAAATACATGTCACACTGCATTAGACTGTATCTCTGATTGCTGCGTTTACCTCTGGGGTGGAGATGAGCGTCCCCTGAGAACTGCGGGGGTGGAGATGGGCGTCCCCTGAGAACTGCGGGGGTGGAGATGGGCGTCCCCTGAGAACTGCGGGGGTGGAGATGGGCGTCCCCTGAGAACTGCGGGGGTGGAGATGGGCGTCCCTGAGAACTGCGGGGGTGGAGATGGGCGTCCCCTGAGAACTGCGGGGGTGGAGATGGGCGTCCCCTGAGAACTGCGGGGGTGGAGATGGGCGTCCCCTGAGAACTGCGGAGGTGGAGATGGGCGTCCCCTGACTGCGGTTCTGCGGTTCTTGGCTGGTGCACAAGGTATGCATCTTGATGTGCAAGAACTATTAAACTGAGTTAGAATGCTTCTAGACTCCAAACTTCTACATGTGACGGAATTCTTTACGGGTGCAATTGTCACTTGCACGGCTTTATAATTTGGAACTGTTCGTTTCGTTGAGGCCGCCACCGGCTCTCCGTGGTCCAGTGCAAATAGGGTTTGCGCATTGTGAAACAATTATGAAGAATTAGCCTAGTTTGAACGTCACGCCAGAATAACGTCACGCTATAACCTATAAAGCTTGAGGTGCTATGAGGAGAAAACCAGCCGCTGAGCACAACATAACAGATGACTACACACTGCATCAACCTGCAATCTACCATCTTCGATTTTGGGCCACGCAAGGCTGATACACTGGAACAACTCAGAGTGCACTGCATTTAATTCATGTGTCTATCAGAACTGCACACCTAGTTGACAGCGATAAGACGCGCCACATCCACCAGCCCGTGGACATCGAACAAGTGTCGGACAGACAGAAGCGCAAGAGGTGCTCATCGGACGGTTATGCAACTGCAGTGCAAGGTCATCCGAACATGACCTTGCCCCTCTGGGAACTGCGGACCTGCACACGCTGACGTCAGGCTCGGACACTGACCGGGCGGACAGGCGACGACTGCATGATAGCCGTGCAGAAAGCATCCACCGAAGCGGCAGCCATCAATAACGCAGCGCCGATAAGCAGCGAGCACTTCAATCAGCTCCCAGCTGCAGCTCGAGTCGGCCACAGGGACGCTCTGCACGACAGCTCAGCGTTGGCAGCCGTGCCGGCAGCGCTCCGCCAGCCTCGGCCCGCGTGCTGGGCGGACTGAAGCTGCTCCCTGCACTCGCGCTGGCGGGCGCTGCTCGGTCGGGCGCCGCCCTTCGCCAGTGCCCGGGGCCGCCGGCGCCGGCCACCGTCGGCTGCCAGCTGGCCGTGCCGTACTGTGCAAGAGCCGGCCGGGAGAGAGCGAGAGCGAGAGAGCGGCGGTCGCGGCCGCCGGCGCGGCGAGCTGCCGAGCCGACAGCGCCGGTCTCCGGGAGCAGGCCGGCCGGCCGCCGGCGCCGCGCCCGCCCGGCCGGCTCGTGTCGCGCCTGATTGCATTCTCGCCGAGAAAACACTGCGGCTACGGACGCGGTGTGGAGCGCGCCACGTTTGACCGCGCGCTGTTGGTCGGAGAGACCGGCTGATTAGGCAGCCGCGGGTGATTAGAAGCAGAGCGCGGGGCAGGCTGGTGCTCTCACTTGCAGGAAAGTAGGGGAAATACGGGCCACACTCCGTGAGTGGTGCTAGAGGTGGGGTGGGGAGGGTGGAGGCAGGAGAGGGGAGAGCCGCGTTGCGTCGTCCCTGACGGCAGCGTCGTGATTTCATCTGAACTCGCTGCCGTGACAGCTGTGACACATTTGCTTAAAGGAAATGCCCGCCGACAGCCTTGACCACATGACTGTTGAATTATGCATTCGTCCACACCTCGGGAGAAATGCTTGCCTTGCACATGACATTGTGCGCAAGGGGTACTGAGTGCCAACAGCCCACCATGTGAGCAGTTTTACAAACACTTCACCGCACGACGAGTGAGCGAATCTTCCCGGCCTGAAGCACATCCACAAACAAGTCAGATGTGTTCAGCAACTTGACCATGACCAAAGAATTCGGCCTCTCGAAACGACAAGCTAACACCCCGCCACCCAGGTGCACGGCGCAATCCAGCACGCGAGTAGGCCATCCCCCGGCACTAACTGGCGATTGTGTGCACTCTATCGCAATCCAGAGGCGTACAGCGCGGTCTTCGCCGGCCCCGTATGTTACACGGATAGCGCGAGAACATCCGGCCCCTCAGCAGCTGTTCACCACCGGCTGAGCAGCGCTGCTTATGCTGTAAATGAGATGTGCATTACGCTGCCCCCATGTAAATGTCGACGCCCCAGCGACCGACCTCGTGCCTCTGCCATGGGTATTTCCGGGACGGAATCGCCGCCTGGGATGGGCCCTGTTGCCACAGCTGACACGCGATCTCCATTGGCTCCCATCTTGTTTGCCGCGCCCCAGACCTTGCAGATGGCCGTTCATTCCGGCTGTGGGAGCCGGCGTTTGGGCGCGGCCGCGGAGCGGTATCTCGGCACAGGAGGGCCCCAGCCGTCTCAGGCAGGTGCGTTCGACACTGGTATGTAACTGCATCGTGTTGAGTGCTTGCGTTGTTCGGAAGATTGTTGTCGTGGACGGAGGCAAAGGCGTTTGGTGCAATCTCGTCTTAATCTAAATCGTGCATCACCGACGCAATAGTTTCAACATTCCATTAAATTCCATCGAACGAAACAATTTATGGTCCTCCATTTGATGTAGCAATATCCCTGCAAACATTTCCTGAGCACATGGAGCCATGCATCAGGTGACAACACTGAAACATTCGTGAATACTTCCAATTTTTTGGCGCGGGCGTACTTATACAACACATGTTATGTTCAGTATCAAACTCTTCTGCACATGTACCGGGGCAGAAAATGGTTGCACGCCATTGATCGGCCGTGAATGGAAATTCTGTGCTTTGATTCTGCGATCTTCCATAAAGCACCTGCAACATGGCATTATTTTGCTTTCAACACAATGAGCCATTTTTAGAATTCTTTAAATGTATGGCTTCACATTACAGCTCATAATGCGCTGGCAGGACCGTTTTTAGACGGTTGACTGACATAACTGCGCAGACGTCACAACAAGCGAACCATTTGCCTGTTCAGCTGGGCTCGGTGGGAGGTCTGGTGTAGTTGCATTAGTGCAATTCGCGCGACAAGCCACCGCTTGACTGCCATCCCTGATAAATAGCATGCCTCACTCCGTGGCAGAGACGATTCAAGTCAACAGCCCAACCGGCGGCCCGTTCCACCATCCTGAACTGATTTTGACAGGCGGCGCATGACGAAATGACGTCTGACGCGGACTAAAGACACCAATAAAGCAGACTCTAATGGTGCCTGACAGGCGTTTCCCGAAGGTCGCGCAGCTGCAGCTGGTACCCTCGCGCCCCTCAGCTCTCGCCGTCACGGTCGGCGCCGGCGGCGGCGGCGGCGGCGGCGGCGGCGGCGGCAGCGGCGTGCCAGACCCACCTTGGACCAGTGCGGACTGAGCTCGGCCGCCTTCAGGCCGTCCTGGTGCGCCGCCGGCAGCTGACCCAGCTTGACGCGGGCCGCCGACCGGTTCGAGAAGAGCACGTGGTTGGCCGGATCGAGGGAGATCGCCTCGGTGTAGAGACGCACGGCCGCCTCGAACTCGCCTGCCTGGCAGGCGGCGTTGGCCAGGCGCACCTTCTCAAGGAAGAGCTCGCGGCTGGTGGAGGAGAGCTCCGCATCGCTGCCGAGCTCCACCTGGCGGGGCACACGGGTCAATCGGTCAGCGGCAAGCTCTCGCGGACGTGGTCACCACAGACAGCGTCACGACAGGCAGAGTTACGACGGGCGGGGTCACGACAGGCGGGGTCACAACAGACGCGGTCACCACAGGCGGGGTCACAACAGTCAGGGTCACAACGGGTGGGGTCACGACAGATGGGGTCACCACAGGCGGGTCACCACAGGCGGGGTCACCACAGGCGGGTCACCACAGGCGGCGTCACCACAGTCGGGGTCACGACAGACAAGGTCGCAATAGGCATGGACCATGGTAGGTATTTTAGTCGCGACAGAAGGTGTCACGGCAGGCGGGCGAAGTCCTAAACGCTAACTCGAATTTAAAAATCAAAACAATTTCGGAGATTTTTGGTCACCATAACCTTTTTAAGGTAAAACAAGGTCACTGACCTGAAATGAACACCAGCGATCTGTTCTTTTGAACAGATATTTACGTTCGAGGCGGTTCAGGGACGCAGTCTGTGAGCACTTTTGATTTTGATGAATTTGATGATGGCTTTGATGATCATTTGAATTTGATGTCTCCAGCTTTCTTAGCTTTTGGATATTGGCGGAGTCAAATTGACCCGCAACAGAGCTTGTGGTACTCAACCGGCTACCCCGGCGCTGGCTAATGAGAATCCGAAACGTTGGACGTTTATGGGAACACGTTATGCAAAAAGTGTTTCATACAGAGGCGTTCTAACAGGCTAGGCGGTCTTACCCGCAAGCATGCCGCACAGCGCGAAAACAGGACACTCGATGACAGTAATGGGGCAAACAGATGACAATACAAAGACGACATAAATCATGGCCAATCAGCATACGGTGGTAATTAGGGACACAAAAATGAGCATACTGAGGTCCATATCAATCGTGTTCGTGGCTACCCTTATAAGAGTCAGCTGCTGAAGTTTTTGTTTATGGAAGGTTGCAGACCACGCATGAAAATCGTGTCGAGTTTTTCTCTACAAGCCCAAGACCCTAGCTCAATCTTTACCCCCACATGGCACGTCACAAAGACCATCACATCCGTGATGGGTCCGAAAATGAAACCAGACCGGGCTGTTGATGTCCTAGCTGAATTTTACGCGGCGATGGTAAAACACCTTTCACGTGCCGAAAAAACACAACATTCTATGCGGGTAGCCAAAAACGGAGTGTATGCGACTTGATGCACTGCATTGTTGGTAGAACAAGTGCTGTCAAATCCAGAGGCACACGGAGCACCTGTCTCTTTTGGTGGGCTGGTCTGGGCAGGTCAGGCGAGCACCAGGTGCTGTCTTAGTGACCCTGGACTGTTCCAGGCAACTCTGCATTCTATGACGCCATTTTTGGAGGGTGTTTTTATCTTACGGCATGGCTCGTCGTTGATGTAGGGTGATGTGACGAATACCATATTTTATTTTCTTCTCAATGGATGGTCGGGAGTGGGACGCTAATCGGTGGCTTGCTTAACTAGAACTGAAATCAGCCTGAGGGATATCAGTTGGCTTGAAGAAAACTTTATTCGTTAACCTTTTCCTGAAAGGTTATCCGATACGTAGCTAAGGCGCTGTTCAAGCATAGTTACTTCACGTGATCATCGAGCTTCGGTCTTCGAAATCTCACTGGCAGCGAATAGTAGCTGGTCACGCTTATCCCTGGCAGCATTCAGGCTACCTGGTCCGCTGCCCAGCGGGTCATTTGGCCTTCCAAGTCCGCTGCACATCAGGTCATTTGGACTACCAAGTCCGCAGCGCATCAGGTCAATCTTCGTCTTACGGTAACTCTCAGCACTCGAACAAACGCTGGACTGACCAACAGCTGCAGACCACTTATAATGAGCCCGCAGCCGCTCCGTTCAGACGGGGTTAGCAACGGTAAATCGGCACCAGCTGATCGGTCGATTGGTGGTGGATAGGATGCTGGCGCGCTGCGAACGGGTCGGCTGACCCCGTGGGAGCTGGCGATAGTGGGATCTGATCCCTCAATGGGGCGGCGGCTGAACACTGACAAGTAAGGATCCAGTGCTGTTGCAGATGGTGCTCCGATTATTAAAGAACCTGCAACACCAACGAAGATCGACGATGAAGGAAGGAGACCGTATCAGCATAGGGAACATCTGGAAGTTTTTGAAATGACATTTTTGGTGCCTCGCCGAAGTTTTTCTTGCCAGATGCGCGTAGTGACAAAGGCAGTTACACGCACACTCTGTACGCGGCAGATATTTCTGTTTTTCGTCACCCTCGCAGAACAGTCTTGACCGCACGCTTGCTCCCAGACTGCCCAGGCGGCCCTTGTGCATAGGCAGAGGGCTATCCAGATCGCGGAGGCTGGATGAGTGAGAAGACGTTTCCGGTGAGGGGACGCGAGACGGAGCCCTCGGGGGATGTCAGGGGACTGAAGGGTTTATTTAGAGACAAACCATGACCGTGAGCCCACCGTCGCGGGCGCTGGTTAACACAGCATTAAAGCTGCGGCAGAGTGATCCCCCTCCCCCGTTGCTGCCATCTCGTGGGTAGGAGGAGGTCAGGGAAAGACCAGCAGACGCCAAGCAAAACCACGGACCTCCTAACTACATAAGCTATAACACCAAATGCTGCTTTCTCTACCATAACCAGGCGGAATAATTGGCACAGCAAACCCGTCGAAGGCTGCATCCAACCCTTTTGGCAGACAGCTGAAGGTGGCAGTGGAATTTGACCACGTTTTACAACCGCTTTACACACACCTACACCGGAATAACTCGGCCACAACTGGTAGTTATATAATGAATAATGTTTTCTGTTACCGATACTCCACAACAGATGCTTCACATTCCACTTAAACCGGGCGGGGTAACCGTGTGGATTTTTCCTATCATATGAGGGACAGAGCGACAGGCAGCGAACGCCACCGGTCGCTGGCGCCACCCCTGTTCTGCCAGCACCAGGGTCCGGTCGTGGTCGCCGTCCTGTGTGTGCCTCCCGGTCGATAGCGGAAAACTGGCGAACAGGTCGCATTGTCTGGATGACGAACACCTGCCGCATCCCCGTCACCGATCGCGTGCACCGGCCTGCGGGCGAGCCCGCGAGCCTCCGCGGCCGGCGCTGCACCCGACGGCTGCACCGGAGCAGCCGAGCGCCGCCGCCGGCCGCGGCAGACAATTACGGAACGCCAACACCTGGTCGGCCGTCCGCCAACGCCGGAACGCCGGTGCTCGGGTCGGTTCGGGTCAGCGGCTGCTCATGTGAGCTCACCTCGCACCGCCGGCAGTCAACACCGTGCATCACGAACGGATACTTATTAGGAAGGCTTGAGCATGCCAAGTGATGTATATCAAGGGTTGTCAGTATTAAACTAAATGGTGTTACTTCCGAGAAGGGGTAGGGCTTTTTGAGACAATGTGGACTGCATTGCGCTTAATGTCAGTTGTTGGCTTCACAAAAGCAGGGATAAGGCCAAGCTACCTCCTTTCAAAAAAACTTTGCAGAAGTTCAACAACGCATATACGCTTTGCGCTAATGAAAAGAAAGATGAGGGGGGGGGGACTTAACTCCTCAAAAACGGGATAACTTCTACTGATGCTAGCCAGGATATTTCGAAGGACCGCTTAGGTGGGTCCAAGCTGACTCAAGACATTTCATGCAAAGATAACAAGGAGACATTTTTGCTGTCTGTCGTCGTCGTTTATTAGCATCAATTGCTCATGATCCATTTGCCGCCTGGCCTGCAGTGCCCAGTCTACAACGGACGGAATTTTGAGCACGTCGTTTGCATACGTACGTGTCAGTATCTTTCCAAGACTGCATACGTATGCCGATGGAGCTACCGCAGCAAACGTTGGAGGACGCCATGGCACCACTTCACACGTGCATGCGAATCAGTCACATACGCCATTCATTTTTCATGTTCGGGTTTCCCGATCGACGCCAGCCTCGGCACATGGTTAAGCCCCACATATCCGCAGTGTCCTCGCCCGTCTCTCGTCTGTCTGCATGGTCTACAGACGGCTGCAGTGACCCCGTCCCCCTCCCCCTGCGTCCTCAGCCGGCTGCACTGTGCCTCGCCTGTGTCCCCGGCCCGCTGCGGTGTGCCTCGCCTGTGTCCCCGGCCCGCTGAGGTGTGCCTCGCCTGTGTCCCCGGCCGGCTGCAGTGTGCCCCTCCTGTGTCCCCGGCCCGCTGCGGTGTGCCTCGCCTGTGTCCCCGGCCCGCTGCGGTGTGCCTCGCCTGTGTCCCCGGCCCGCTGCGGTGTGCCTCGCCTGCGCCCCCAGCCGGCTGCAGCGTGCCCCGCCTGTGTCTCCCGGCCGGCTGCAGCGTGCCCCTCCTGTGTCCTCGGCCCGCTGCGGGTGTGCCTCGCCTGTGTCCGCGGCCGGCTGCAGTGTACCGCGCCTGTGTCCGCGGCCGGCCTGCAGTGTACCGCGCCTGTGTCCCGGACCCGGTGTGAGACCGCAGCCAAGCCCAGGGCTCTCTTCCCTCACGAGCGGTCGAGCGCGCCGCCGACCGCCGCGCCCCTAATAGTTGTTTGTGCCGCCGCCGGGCCGGCTAGGTCATGCCGGGTCACCAGGGCAGCGGCGGCGCCCCGCCGTCCGCCGTCACCGGCGATACTTTCATCACGCAGCGCGGAGGCGCCACTTACGCCAGTGCGTGGCGAAACGGGCACGACGATGCTCCCATTGTTGGCGCGATCCTTGTCACGGTCCGGGTACGGGTCAATTAGTCCAGAGTTGACAGGACGAAAGTGGAATGGTAACACGCTGTAGGTGAATGCATCCCCTGACATCCTTCGTCGAGGATCCACTAAGAATAGAGGAAGCCTCTTTAGCTTATCTTATTGAACTGGCATCGGATGGCCTCAATTCCAATTTCCTCAAAACGAACAAATGCATGCCATGGGGTTGGGAAACATATCCTGCTGATGAGAAGTTCCTTGTTCAATAAGGCATTGTTCAAAAGGCATTATGTTTGCTGCATCATTTTTTTCTTCAAATATTTTCCCGAAAATATGTATCACATAG